CGCTGCCGCCCGGGGCCTCAGGCGCCTGTTTCTCTTGCAGGAGGTGGAAGCGCTGGTCTCCCACTGGAACCTCTGTATCAACCTGGGAGGCTTCTTCGTTGGTCTCTTCTCCGTGACCCTCTTTGGACCATGGAGCGACAGTGTAGGCCGCCGGCCGGCGCTCATCCTGCCGGCAGTGGGTATGGCCGTGCAAGCAGCCGTCTGTCTTCTCGTCATGTACCTGCAGCTGCACGTTGGCTACTTTCTCCTTGGACGCGTTTTGAGTGGCCTCATGGGAGACTACAACCTGATCCTGGCCAGCTGCTTCGCCTACGTGGCCGACACCAGTGACAAACGCGCACGTACATTTCGCGTCGCCATCCTCGAGGCATGTCTCGGCATCGCGGGCATGCTGGCCAGCATCGGCGGCGGCCAGTGGCGCAAGGCGCAGGGGTACATCAACCCCTTTTGGCTCGTGCTTGCTGCCAGTCTTGCTGCCGCTCTCTACGCTGCTTTCTGTCTTCAGGAATCGGTGAAGCAGCAGAAACCAGCCAGGCTGTTCACGCTCAGTCATTACAAGGCTGTCTACAGGCTGTACACAGCCCCAGAACACTTGAGCTCCAGGCGGAAGCTCGCTCTTTACTCCCTGGCTTTCTTTCTTCTTGTCACTGTACATTTTGGAACCAAGGACCTCTTGGTTTTGTACGAGCTTGGCTCCCCTCTCTGCTGGGCCGCTGATCTCATTGGGTACGGCTCAGCCGCCAGTTACCTGGCTTACCTGAGCAGCCTGGGAGGGCTGCGGCTGCTGCAGCTCTGCCTTGAAGACACCTGGGTGGCAGAGACAGGATTGATCTCCAATATTTCTGGACTGGTTGTGATTTCTCTTGCTACTACAACACCACTGATGTTTACAGGTGATGCTGAATTCATAAATCCCTATATCTCAGGCTCTTAGCTTAGAGATGCCAGTAGATGCAGAATGGCAGTGTGCTTCTGGGAGTTCAAGCACGTGGAGGAAGTTCTGCCCCTGCTTCAGCTCGTGTACTGACAAAACTGTGGCTTGCTAACAGCAAAGCTGGCCGAACACTGAAGGTGAAAGTGCAACCATATAGTTCCTAGAATATTAGGTTTCCCAGAAGCTGCATTACACTGCAGACACAGTCTAAAGTGCATTGTGAGATGCAGGAGGGTGAATTGGCTCTAAATATAGCAGGAGGAAACTGCCTGGAGCTACAGATTTCTGGGATTGACTTTAGAGACTTTATTTTTCAGCCGAGCTTTCCCTAATGTGCTGTATCTTGCTCACAGGTTATGGGATTCTGTTCCTTTCCATGGCAGCCACTCCAGTCATCAGAGCCAAGCTCTCCAAGCTGGTCAGTGAGATGGAACAGGGTAAGGAGTTAGCCACTGCACTTAAGCCAGGCCCTGAAACACTGCCTTCTTGGAATATTGAAATCAAACTGCTTTGGGAGGTTAGGACTTCCCTAGCTCCTTTGGACTCCTGTGCCCCTGCGTTCACCCTCAGGCCCAGGGTAACATTTTATTTTTTTTAAATAATTGTCATTCATCCATTTAGACTTGCTACGTTTTCAGGATGAGCACAAGAGAAGAAAAGCAAGATGAAAAGTATTGCATTCAAGCTCAGGAATAGTTCATTCATCCATCTGTTTCTTTCCAAAACTTGTACAAGGAGCAGGAGTTAAAATGGATTATACAACAAGCAGAAAACTGATTTCCCTGACCATGACTCTTTTCTGTAGATCAGTAACAGTGGGAAGAAACCTAGAGCTGTTAGAGGGTTATATCATTGACCATGGTGAAAGATCATGGCTAACTGGTAGGAGGAGCATATTTGCCTTTCTTCCAGTAATTTGTTTGAAGAGCTTGCACTTGCTGTTGAACACTGCATAGGAATGCCTCTGCAGGCAGACAGGGGAGGAGGGAATCGAGGTGGGAAGGGTCGAACGGTGACTGCGCAATTAGTGTTTCTTATATTAGAATGAAGGTGGCGCACACTTGATACCAGATTTATGATGCTAAATCTGTAAAGTGCAGTCTTCTGCTGTACTTAATGTTTAACAAGCGATAAGGTGTGCTTGGCAGTAAACAGATCTATATAGCCCTGTCTAAAGCATTTACAGTATAATATCCCTGGTCAGCTCCGGTGATGCAAATTCTGGAGGTTAATGAGGTGGTCCTGGCTAGAGAGAAGCTGAGCTTGACAGGTTTGGCCTGCCAGGCCAGCACAGCGTGCCTCGTCTCTGCTGCCAGCTCTTCCTGCCACGCTTCACAATGCAGACCCCAGTTTTCTGATCGGAAGTGCAAACCCTGAGAAAGGGTCACAGAATCCCACTGAAGGAGGTGATGTGGTAAAGACATTTGCAGGCAGGGCCGTCTCGTCATTAACCTCTCGTGTATCTTTTCCAGGTGCTCTTTTTGCTTCCGTTGCCTGTGTGGAAGGGCTGTGTTCACTTGTGGCTACAGGAGTGTTCAACTCCCTCTACCCTGCCAGCTTGCACTTCATGAGGGGATTCCCATTTCTCTTTGGGGCTATAATTCTTCTTATTCCAGCAGCTATTATTGGGTAATTTACTTCACATTTCTAAACTTTGCCATAGGACCTGTGAAGTGTAATATGAAAAACACTATTTACTCTACTTCGGATAGAGGCTCACAGTTTTTAAGGCATATTTTCAGTTATGCTTATGAGAGGGTGTTTAGTGCCCCAGTAAGCAGAGGTGCAGGTCCATTTCTTTGGGCATCTGAATCCCAGCAATTAACCTACAGCCTGAGTAATGTAGCTGCCGACATTCAAAGTGCTCCAAAGTCTCACTCTACCCTCAGAGTGGAATGCAAAATCTGGAGCTGAATTTGAAAGTCCTCCGTTATGGAAGAGATGGAGCTCTTTTGGAGTCTCTTGTCCTCTTGTTTCTCTCCTAATTAAAGCAAAAGTTGCATCATGATAGAAAACAAGTCCCCTGGTAAGTCTTGGGACAGAGAATGTGTTGGGATTTGCAGTAGAAGTGCAACAGCTCCTGGCAGGGTCATTTTGTTCTGTTCCTTTGGAACTTTAAAAGTCACTTCATTCAGCAACATCCCAGTGTGCCTTTGCAGGCTCTAACTGTTCTTTCTTTCTTAGGTGGATAGAAATCTGGGACTCAAACCACGACTACAGTCACTTCTCAGATGCTTCCCTCTCCCCTGCAGATGGCTCAGCAGCAACTTAGCAACGAGGAATTGGCCAGCTCAGCAGTGTCCATCTGAAGACTGCTCTTTATTCTTCCCTTGAAGGACAGATTAGTGTGCGAGGGACACCTTCCTTGTCCTTACTAATTTTTAAATACCAAATAGTTGGAAATCATGGTTCTGACTACCAGTAGGAACTTGATTTGCAGATGTGAATGCCTCCTCGCTGTTGTGTTGGCTCATCTGTCGGAGAAAACCCAAGAGACCCAAAAGCCAATCAAGAGTAAAAGCAATTATTGGCCATTTGCAAGGCCGGTTAGTGGTTTGGGGTTTGTTGGGAAGGGAAGGTTCTGTGGCATGCTTTTAGTGGTGAGAGAGGACTGAATTCTCGTTTAATTGCCAAACACGTTCCCCTCTGAGTACTACAGTGTGCAGCAGATGAGCTGTTGGCATGGGTGAGGCCCAGACCAAAGCCTGCAGAGCAAGGCTGAAGCAGAGGTACCCAACAGCGTGCTGCTGAGGAGAAAGGTCTGCGCTCCGAATCAGTGTGTTGTCAATAAAAGTCATACAAATGTCGCATGTCAGACTAGGCTCCTGCAGAAATCCTTATGGTGGGCGGTAGTTTACCACAGGAGCGCTAGCGCTGTCCTTATCGACTACACTAGCTTTAGCTTCGCAAGTTAGAGGTGTCCGAGGAAGAGAATCTAGTGCATGAAGTGCTTGTAGTGAGGCATGCCAGTGGCCTGTCCTGCCTGCCTGTCTGCAGCTCAGCCCGGGGTTTCAAAGGTACTTTGGAGAAGTAATAGCTTGTGTGAGAATACTAAGGTGCAAGTAGGTGCCTTAATTGACAGTTGCCCAAACTGATGAAGTCAAGGCTAAAATTGACAAAATTGGGCCTCCCTAACTGAAGACCCTTACATTATAAATTTGAGGGCCCAACTGTGATGAGTGTGCCCTAGTGTCATCTGAAATTACTGCTGTGCTTACGGCAAAGCCAGAAGCAGTCCTTCCTCATCCATACACGGTGCTGCTGGGATGAGCCGGTGTGGGGACAGGGCTAGTGCCTTTGGAGATAAAATTATGCCCCCAGACTTTGTGTCAGTGACCTCACTTCTGCTGCTCTTCTCAGGATATGTTGATGCCAGCAAGCAAACCCCATGTTCATGGTACTCATAATTGTTCTTCTCAAAGCATTAACTGTATTGCCTCTATGCTATTTTCTTCGAACTGCAATAAACGAGCAGTTCTGTGTACCTTGCATTGCACACACTGTTCAGATGCATGCCGTAATGCCCTTAACTGTGAAATTGCTTAGCAGACATGTTAGTTTCAGAATGAATAAAGCCTCCATTCTCTTTTATGGTTCATAAAAAGATAGCTTTTCTCGTACAGCTGTTGATGTCATTTGTCCTTGCCTCATTCCAGGCTTCTCCCCATTATTTTCATGCTTCTTCCTTTATTGAAGACTCTGCAGTAGAGAAGCAGCAGCAGGAAGTTGTCTGCCTTGCGGAGAATGAGCGTGTAAGAGTCCTGAGTCAGGAAAAATGCAGATTTGGGACTTATAAGCAGCCAAAGCTTGCTTTTCCTGAACACTAGAGTAAAGCTTGCAGGAGTGCTTAGTCTGTAACCTGTCCTTCAATATGCAGTAAATGTGAAATGCTTATATACGGTTTTGTTCCCTGTTCGTTAGGAGTTTGTGATAAAAGCAGGAGAACTGGTGAGTAGAGAAGCAGGAGGTGGAGAAGTAGGGAGGCTTTAAGAACTTGGTGTTATGCCACTTGAGCTGTGTAGTTGTGCCAGTGGACATAGGCAGGAGTTACGTGTCCGATTGATGGGCTAAGCCCAGCATTAGCCTCCCTGAGGAACAGGGCATGCTGTGAGTGTTGCATTAGATGTTTGTAGCTGAACTGATTGTGAAGTAAGTCTTTTCTACCAACAGACTCCATGGACGCCAATGCTGCTCAGTGTTGTGCAGTGAAGTGAAACTTGTGTACTTGGCTCTGCTTTCCTGTTCGTGTCAGTGTGCTTGCAAAGGAGAAATTCAATAGGAACTATTATGCTCTATTAAAAAAATTAAAACAAAGTTTTTCTAGGCTGTCCTCCAAGAACTACAGCCGTGAAGCAAATACATGGTCCATGCATCGTGCCTGTGGGCAGCAGGTAGAGAGTCCCTGGGGATGCAGTGAGCTACATCAGTCCATGCAAAGATGAGCGTGAAGCATGGGTCCCCACAGAGAATGGTGCCTGGAGAACGTCAGTTCTGCTGCCCCTTCAGAGGATGAGAAAGCATGACAGTGAGAGAGAGCAGTTGTGAGAAGGCTGCAGGGAGAGAAGCACGTGACACAAACAGAAGAGAGGTGGGGATTTAGAGTATAAACCAAATTTATTAATAATGTCTGATAGAACAACTTCAAACACTTTCGGACATGACATAGCAAAGGAATAAGGAAGGGTGAGAACAAGAAGGATTCATTTCCTTGAGACTGTCTGCTCGGACTGGAAGGGGCTGGGTATGGAATGTTCTGTCAAGAGCAGGGCGAGTTCCTTGAGGTGAAGATAACTGAATGATGGGGAAACGGGAAGAGTCACAGTCTGGGCAGCTGGAGCACGAGATGGGACCTCCCTGCAGGTGAGACACCTACGCTATAGAGAGCAAGTAAATCTCTACGTTGAATGGTGGGTGAGGAGGTTAATTGCTAGAGAGCTGGGAAACAAGACACGATAATCTTACTGTGTATTACTGTAGGGAGAAAAATCCTTCGGACTGTTTGTGTGGGACTCCTTCAGTGGCCATGGGAGCCTTGACGTTCAATCAGTTACTCAAGACTTTTCCCTGAAGCAGCTCACGAGTGGCTTTTATCCTTTGGCAGATTCACCTTTGGCTTCCTCATATTTAATCTGGAGATTAGATAGATTCTATTTCTGATGAATGCTGGGCAGATATAGCTATTAACCTTTCACTGGAGAGCAAAGGTGCCATTAACTGTGTGCTGATAAGAACTATCTGTAAAGCTGTGATTAAGCACCAGAATTTTGTTTTTTTTCTCAAACATTCATGGATCTAAGCCAAAAGGAAATGTCTTTGTTCCTGCCAGTTAAGGCAGGCAGCGAGGTTCGGGGAGAGCCAGGAGAAGGACAAGGAGGCTGAGACTCCTGAAAGGGTTGAGTTATCTTGAGCAGGGATGGGCAAAGGAGCTTGCTGCTGCAGGGTGGTGCATCAGCCTGGTCTCCAGACCGTCAGGCAGGCTGGTGTGCCCTGGGCATGGCTTGCTCTGCCTCCTGTGTGTGCTCTGAACAAGGATGTCTTTTTGCATTCTTCACTTTGCTCTGCATCAAAAAAGATGAGCTCGGGTAGGAGCTGCAATTTCTGGTCCTAATTGCAAAACGACATGATGTTGAGAGCCTGCTTACCCTCCAAGCAGGTGTGAGAAGCAGGACAAGGCTGGCAGTGCAGAATTCAGGGGAGGGTGCCAGGGTGCCCATGGTTCCTCACCTGCCGCGTTAGCAGCAGGTGCTGCCAGACCCACTCCCAGCCGGGGCTCACGCCTAGCAACGACTTCGCTCTTTCCTGGTATTTCAAAGTGAGTAGCTACAAAAAGACCTGGTGGGTGTTGAAGAGATCAGTAGAAAGAAGCAAATGCTACTTGGTAATGCATCCAGCAGAGAGGAGGAACATCCCTGAGCCTGAGGAGCTGAGCCAGGGCTGTCAGGGGTGAGCGGCACTCACCAAAGAGAGACGCCGGCTCCCGTTTGAAGGAGCAGACCACGGGGGATCTGCTGTGGAGCACCAACAACAGAATAAAATACAGCCGGTGTATAATAACTCTGCAAGTACAGTACAGCAATTAGCATCTTCCGTATCTGCATGGATATATGTTTCCCAGAGTCACGATCCAGGATCCTGTGCCTGACAAGTATAGACCTGATAAAGTGGTAAAGCTGAGACATCAGATGGAGGGAAGGGGTCGTTTTAAAAGCACTTTTTGCAGAGACCCTGCGGAAACTTCACGTGATCTAAACCCAAACTTCTATCGCCAGAGTTAAGAGCACAAAGTGGTTTTGCAGCATTAGGAGGTAAAAGGCCCTCTAGGAGGGAGCAAGCTCATGTAATAAAGGGACATTACTGGGAAAGAGAAAGCTGCTGCTGAGCAGTTTAGAAGGCCACTGTGTGTTATCTTTCCCAAACATGGGGATTTCGTTAGGGCTTAGTTTTTATTTGCCCTTTCCTGCTCCCAGCTTCTGAGTGCGATGATGTTCCCGTGGCACCCAGCAGAGGCCATAAGATGCTTATGGACCGTTCCCTCTCAACTGCTCTTCTCTCATGTGTCCTCTTGCAATGTACCCTCACCAGTTCCCCAGCTTTCCGTCCTCAGAAGAGCCCTCCTCTTCGGGCGTGCTTCTAGGGGAAGCTGCAGCTGTTTGCAGGGGTCCGGACACCGTCGTCTCCCTCGCACGCCCTGCGTTGTGCGAGGCGTAGCCTGTGTGTCCTGCCACCCCAAGGGAGGATGTGGAAGACAACTCGTCCGTCCCAGAGTCCACCCTAGCTTCGCTCACCAGGCACTGTATAAGTAAGTACTGGCCTTCTAGCGCCAGGGGCTTGCATTTGGAGGGTGAAGGGGGGCTAGTGAGCCAAGGCCTCGTCTCAAGCCAAGGTACTAAGATGCAGAAAAATCTAGAGGGAGAAATTTGGCCCCACATAAAAAGGGGTCACCTGGGAAGTCTCTGGAGGGGATGAGGCAGCTGCGCTCGTTCTAGGTCTGCCCCAGGGAGGGCAAGCAGTCCAGGCCATTTTCCGACCCAGCCGAGGAGTCCCGGGAGGAGCGGCCCCGGAGAAAGCGGATGATCTTGTCGATTGTGGCCTCCTGGTACTCGTGGGACCACCTGTGTTCAAGGGAAAAATTGAGTTAATTTTTCCATTGTGCAAGATGCCGTGAGATAGCTCGGTGCGTTTGGGTCGGGAGCCAGAGACCCCCTTCCTCCAACCCGGCTCTGTAGGAGCCCCCTTTTCCCCATGGACAATGGAGGAACACTGGATGCTGCAGGAAAGCCCCTGCCCCTGTGCCCTGCCAGGCTGGAGGGCTACGAGCAGGTTGGGATGCCGGCCTGGAGCACTGCTGCACGAAGGAGGAGCAGGAGGCGAGAGGAACCCAGGCGAGCTGCGAAACCTGCCAGCATCATCCTGCCTGGAGGGCTGGGGGCACGAGGGTGGGCACCCTCCCAGCAGCGAC